ATCCGGGTCTATCTTAAACACCTTTTAAACAAATCACTGAGGGTGAGTTTTAATTAAATCTCTCTCCTCAGAAGCCACAGAGGAATGCTTTTATTCCAAGTATAGAAAACACCAGAATCATAGAAAAACTCCGTCTGGAAGGGCCTTCTGGAGGTCACCTGATGCAAAACAGCAGAGCCACCTTATCACAGCGCTGCAAAACACGGGTCTATCTTAAACACCTTTTAAACAAATCACTGAGGGTGAGTTTTAATTAAATCTCTCTCCTCAGAAGCCACAGAGGAATGCTTTTATTCCAAGTATAGAAAACACCAGAATCATAGAAAAACTCCGTCTGGAAGGGCCTTCTGGAGGTCACCTGATGCAAAACAGCAGAGCCACCTTATCACAGCGCTGCAAAACACTAAATCAGTCTTGCAGGTGTTCGTATCTCTTTCCACTCAAAGAAGTCTCCCAGACAAAGGTCTCTCGCAGAACTCATTATGAATGTTATTTCATTCCCAGTTAAGACAACAGGATCAGCAGCTTTGCATACGTGAGACCAACATATCCCCAAGTCGCATAAAATAAACCACCACCAGTATTTGCCAAACAAAAGGTAAAGTCACAGAGCACTGTTTGAAAATAATGCTGTTTGCCTTGCTAGTATAATTTAGACCATTCTGCAGACATATTCAGGAAAACCTACCTGAGAACTTGATGATCGTTTTCGCTCTGAGTTCATAGAGGCCGAGAGGTTTGAGCAGCTCTGACATTTCTTTCCAGTCTGCAGTCCTGGTTATTTCAGGAGAAGGATACTTCTTAAGGAACTCCCAGAGCACAGGAATTGCCATTTTACCTAGTGAAAGAAGTCATCATGAACAGAAGACCATGCAGGTAATTCTCTTTTTTGATTATCTATGCATGCTTTTTGAAGTGAGCTTTTTCTGAGGCAAGAGTTACAAATTAAAGATTTTTTTTTTTTTTTTTACACAGTTAATATACGTTTATTCTTTCATTAATGCCATTAAAAAATAGCAGCTGCTCTGGCCCTATAACACCACCCCAACATTGATACAACATGAAATTGTATTACTCTATTTACCTGAAGTTTTATTGAGAAATATGGTTGCAATGAGAAGTTTCCATGGATCATGGAAAAGTGTTTCTTGGACCAAATTAAAAGGAGAACGTGGAGGAGTCCATTTTCTGAAGGCCTTCCTTCTAGGTGGGCTGGGAGCTGTACACAGAGGCGATACAGGAAAATTTATTGGGCAGTAAAGGATGGATTTACCTATTTAAATGAAAATAATTTTAAAAAAACGAAGACCTTTTGAAGCAGTTTCATCTTCGTGGGGGCACTGTAAGCGGATGGAGCAATGGCAATTCACACAGATTTTACAGAACTGCAAGGGACCTCGCGTTCCCTGGCACAGACTGCAGTAAGAGTCAAGGCTGCCTGCGTGTGCCCCCATGTCCCGTATTACATACATTTTCCGAGGAGAGAGGTCCTCCCCAGCTACCGCCACGCTCCCGTGTAAGTGCGGAGCAGCAGCCACAGGGTACAGGGCTTCCCCCTGACAGAGAAACACCTCAGTGGTCTGAAGAGAACTTCCCCAAAGCCCATTCACCCCATCACCTCACAGTTGTTGAAAGAGCTGTCGAGGCATCTGATACCAGCCTTAATGGTTGTTTGCAAGATACAAACCACCGAGGTTTAAAACGGGACAAGATCAGCACTAGCGCAGTAAGCCAAGCCCTCTGATGCCACTTAAGCATGGCCAGCCTAAAACTGGAAGAAATTTTCCATAACATCACTTGATCTTGAGCCATCCTATTCCTCCCCCCCATAAAAAAGGATTTATTTCCCTAAAGACTATTATACCTTCTTTACTGTATTTACTTGAAAAATACGGACTCGTTTTCCTCCTATCCACTTGTGTTCGTGGGATAGACTCTTCTGTAAAGAAATAATACTTTAGCATTAAAAGGAAAAAAATACAGTTATTTTGCTGTCATGTTTCATACACCATCTCCCTTTTACGTTGTGATGGAAATACAAGGATTTCTTGTAGATGTACAGAATATAAATGTGCTTTAGATTCACTCCAGTACTCCTCTGTATTTCAACTCTATGAAAAATCTTCAGAAGATAAACCGTCACTTTGCCACAGTCTGAGGAAACAGATTCTAGCACATGAAACAAGCTAAAACTAGCCTTTTTCATGAACCAAACTGACCAACTGTGCAACAACGTTAAAGATTTAGTGCAGCGAAGGTAATGAACGTTATTATATTATACAGCTAAAGAGATCAGTAGAGTAAGTTCCAGTTGTGAATAAATCCGCATTAAGTTATATGCTGTGGGATAAAGAAATGATACAGATTGAGATGTCAAAGCAGCTTGACCTGAAACAGAATACTTTGCTCACATAGTTAAGAGAACCCCCGGCTGAACGTTAGCATAATGATCTGCTCAAAAACACACAAATACCTGGCAGCATTTTAACTGCTGTGAAGCTTTTCTTGTCACAGGGCTGCAAGACGTTAGCATCCGTTTCAGTGTCAGGTTCAAAATCCTGGTTACCCGGATTCCCTCGATCTGTTTCTTTCTCTATTTTCAATCCGTTGTTTTTCTCCTCAGATTTTGCAGAAGATGCGTCATTAGAACCTGTCTCCACACATTCCTCCTCTGCTAGGCTCTCCAGCTCCCTTTGCGAGCGAGCCGTCACTGACCTTAGCTGTGTGTCTGATCGTGACCTGGAAATTCTTAACAGAGCTTTTCCTGCGTCCGTAGGGTCTGCATTCCCATCATCTATGCCTTGACTATCGGCAACGTGCATGTCCGTCTGTCTACAGAACTTCTTGTTTTGAATGCACTCCTGTTTGTTACATACTCTTCTCTGTCTTTTGTTTTGGGTATTATCTTGATTCCTCTTTTCTGAGCTCTTTCCCGTTTTCTTATTCCGAGCACTTTTTGCACCTGCCCCCTTCTTTTTGGTGTTCAAACAGTCCTCTGGGTTTATGCCTTTCATGATCAAATCTTTGCTGTCTAGAGTGGATGTAATATCTTCCAGGTGTTCATTTCCAATCTGAATGTTTTGAATTTTATCCTCTTCACCATTTTGTATACTGAAGCCTTGCTCTTCACTGCGACAATCCTCATTCTCTAAAACAGTTCTCGCAGCTTTTGTGCTGTATCTTTTCACCCTCGAACGGGTAATCCTCTGATAAGGAGCTGTAAAATCAAAATCTTCTGCTTTTAGCGTCATCTCCCCGGTTTTCCGAAAATACGCCACAAGTGCACTTTTCGATCTTATCTTATTTCCTTCAGGACTGTGGCATGAAAGAAAAGTAAATTAGTGATGACTTCTTCATTCTCTCACTCCTCACTTAAAAAACTGCTCTAGCGTTTAAAAAAAAAATGACAAAATGGTTGGCAGGGTGACGTCGAGACAAGTTTCTGTGCCTTGGCCAGAAAAGGTTGACACAAGAGTTTCCAGACAGCCCCACAGGTACCGCGCCCTCCACCCCGTCAGCCCCACGC